CCCCAAAACCCCAAAACCCCGCACTTCCAATTTCATTGGAATAGATTTAATAAGTAAAATTTCTATTTAAAAATAAATGTTATTAAATCATAATTAGAAATTATTGAGATTATGATAATCAATTTTGATTAGTATTTGCTTATTATTTTTTCATTGGTATAAATGAAACAGCATTTTACAATCGAGAATAGATGTCTAATTCCTAATTAGATGCACCTTGATTTGAGTTTACATGACCAGATTCGTTAGATCTTTTTTGAACAATCAGGCTTTCTTACTTTATTTGATCTCTCATTATTACTTTGAGATCTTCAAGAAAATCTCTGAAGTCACTAAGATTCGCCTGCACATTCTTGAATATCTGCTTCTCACTTTCTCTATTGTAAAAAACTTCGTAATATTTTTATTGTGTCTCAGACATTCCGATAATTTAATCTTATATAGTCAAATTTTGTTGCAAAACAGTTGATTTCAAAACGCTAACTCTCTCCATCAAACTTTTTACGCAATTATGCTCTGATGATAAAGGCTAGTAGCATTTCAAACATAAGCCTTCTCTGGCCTAAACATCAGAATTATTTTCCCTAATTTTCATGAGGCAATCCTTCTTTTAATGTTCTGGCCCGCTTTTATAACTTGGTATTTTTTTGAAGCATATTTAGCAATCTACTAATCGCAGCTGGCATTTCATCTAATGTTCAAATATATTCTCCAAGTTATATACTGAACAATCTATTACAAAGTATTTTTCCTTCTCTTCTTTTGGAACATCATTCTAAAATTGACATTAAACCATAATTCCTGTTTGATGAAATTTCCAGAACTCAAATGCTGGCCTCTTAAACTAATCTTTCATTGTTGGCTATCTGCATTTCGGGCAAAATGGTTTGCTTTATAAATATTATCTTAGACAGCAAAAGCAGTACAAAGCTTCACACTTGCTGCTATCTGGATTTGAGTTGCAGCATCTTCTAGGGTCAATAGCTATAGCATTGCAAAGATAACATAAATGTTCAATAGCATCAGTTTGCTTAATATTTACTACTCTATCAAGAGTAATAAGTTCCATTTATTTCATTTTTAAATTATAAGTTTTAATAATTTAGCTATGTAAATACATCTGTCGAAACTAGTTTCAGTTTAAATATTTATTATATTAACAAAATAACTATATTCAAAAGCCTTGCTTTGATTAATCTTATTAATATATTAACATCTCATACTTCATCCAAATAAAAATCATCTTTTTTAATCAGAACCTATCAGTATCGGTAGTATTTCTTCTTTTTGACAACAGCTCTGTCATTTGTATTTGCTTTCTCTCGTTAATTTACTTTCTCTCACTTTTAACCTTTCTTATTACTATAGAATCTTTTATCAAACCAAAAAGAAGGTGTCCCAAACCAAATCCTACGCTTGAAATAATTATATAGCCTATATTAAAAGTCTGCATAATGACTATGATGATCAGCAAGTTTAAAGCCTTTATTAGAAAATGCAAAATTGTGACAATAATTCTCTCAATGACTTTAAGCCTTATTTTATGCTGCTCTTTTTTAAGCTGCTCCTTATCCTTATTTAAGTCAACTAATGAATTCAAGCAAGTGCTGGTAATACGCTTTCTAGTAATCATGTACCATTTGGCGAAAGATAGAAACTCTACAAACATAGATAAAACTAGCATTCCAATAATAGATGCTCCATAGTAAGAAGTTTTGAGAATTGTGCCTGCCTCTGTTAAAAAGAAGTTCTTATGATTCGATGAAATGTACATTTATGGTAGTTCTTATGGAAAATAGTAATCACCTTGACCATAAATAATGATACCTTGTGCGGAATAATTTGAAAACTGAGTTATGTAATCTACCATTAAAATTATAAAAAATTTAAATTTGCTTTTAAAAATTCACCTAGTATCAGACTTCTTAGATTTTGATATTGGCTAATGGGGTTTTGGGGTTTTGGGG